ATCCTTTACCATTCACAGAGCTGGAACCACATCAAATGGGACTGAGCCCTGATTGCAACACTTAGTACAATTACTTAATATTCCCACACCAACTTTAAAAATGAGTTCCAAGCCTCTGTGGAAGATTACCCATTTTAATATAAATGTATATATCATATGTTAGACACATGTATGTATTTGCATATATATTAACAAATATATTAACATCAAATATGTTCAGAAGTTAGTAACAGCGATATCGATAAATTGATCACTCAGTAAATTATAAACCTTGTTAATCTTTTAATATCTGAAAATATAAATCAAATGTAGCAGCATAGTTAATTATTAATTCAAAATCCTTTAAAATATATTGTACTAATTTTATTTTTTTATGGTTATTTTTCAATTTAGAAACTGACATTGTTCTGCAATAAATATTTTCTGTTTTTTACAGAAGATTTGACAGTTTAATACATTTGAAAGCAAGGCATTTACTAATACTTTCACTAGGTTTTATACACAGCTGAGAGGGAATTATTTGCTGTTATGGCAGTCTCAGATATACAGTGCAAACAAAATTTTAGTGGGATTAATGCTCTAGGAAGGGCACTTTAGATAAAACTGCAAATATGTACTAAGAAGAAGAAAAAAGAAAAAAATCAGGCAGAATGGCCAGTTTCTCTAGGCCTTGTGTGTGTAGGGGAAAGAAACAGCGTCTGTAAAAAATGAATGACACTAAGAGAAAGAAGGGGAAATTATGTAAGTATGTATATAGGATAGCTAACATAGTTGTACAACTGTCTTCTATTGCTTTACAGAAAGGAACAGTTAATGATTAAGTTTGATCTATCTTGTATGTCTCTATTTGTTTTCCTGAGAAATCATTTTGAAGATATCAGTAAGTAATACAACAATCATGGTTAATTTCCTACAACTTGTCTGTAACTCTGTTTTGTTTGTATTGTTCTTATGCTATTTTGTAAATGGATGTCTGTTAATATGTTTTCCTCCTTTTATTTTTTAAAATAAAAAAATGAATGACACTTAAATGGAGACCTAAATGCATAATAGCAATCAGAAGAATGAGGAAAAGAGCAGTTTTCACAGCTGTAACAGCAAGTATAAAACCCTTGAGATGCCAGAGCAGACTCCACATCATGACGATTAGGCCTGCATCCCAGAAAGATGGGGGAAAATTTTAATTTGAAAGTTATTTAATTATTGTGAGCTCTTTTGTAAAAAAATTGGAGTATATTTTATGTTCTATATTAAAAATTTAATTGTTACTTCATATTTTCATTTGAAGTTTTTTTTAGTTTTCTGAGACATATGTGTATTGCTGGTTTTGTGTCTTTGATTTCTATTAAAATAAGTTTCTGTGATATAGGAAAACATTGCTTTATTCAGGTACATTTTGGCTTGTTTTTTTTTTTTTTTTTTTTTTTTTTTTTTTTTTTTTTTTTTTTTTTGGTTTTTCTCCAGCACTGGGAACCGAACTCACGACCTTGCGCTTACCAGGCAGGCGCTTTTGCTGCTGAGCTAAATCCCCAGCCCCTACATTTTGGCTTATGATAGTCTTTTTTAGCAATGGAATATTTTCTACATCCTTTTCAATTTAATTTTTAATCTGTAATTGATCTTTTGACAATGTATTTATAATTTCATATCCTACTAGATAAGACTTTACTTAACATTATTTAGGCTGTATAATCTGTGAATGACTTAACTTTAAAATTTCAGCATTTTATATGTGTACAAATACATACTGGAATATAAATTAATGTTAGCATCTTACGCATAAAATTCTAGTTCCATTTAAAATGCATTAGTTGTGCACACATTTATTTTTGTTTCCTTTAATTTTATCAAATCACTTATTTATAATGGTGATTTAAAAATATTTGGGTGTAGAGGATTATTAGGGAGTGCAGAATGTTCAGGGATATTATATTTTGTGGTCTATGAGTACCACCTCAGAGTTTTTTAATTTTTAAAAATGATACAACAACATTTACAGTGGCAGAGGTAATGAGACCTCTAAATGAATAATTTTCTCAGGAGTTATGTATTTTCTTGTTTGATTTGGACTTGTTTTATTTTGCTTTGTTTTCAATTTTTATTTGCTAGATTAGAAGTAAATCCATATTACATTATTTAGAAAAATATCATTTTTTCCTACTGTGTTCATTTGCAAGGTGGTTAAAGGAGTGAACTTACATGAGAGATATTTGTTCTGGATGCAAGAAATGTTTAAGAAAGTTTACCTGAAGTTTGATCAGATCAAGAAGAGACAAAGAGATGTGATGCTTAATGGTTTTTGAATAGTTGATGTTTTATTTCTATACTTAAATAATCTCTTTCTTCTTTGAGACCAATGCAAGTTTTTTGAACAAGTCCCTGAAGGTTTGTTTAACTTGCTTGTTTCTCAGAGTGTAAATGAATGGGTTCAATACAGGAGCAATGGACGTCATTAGCACTGCCACACCCTTATTAATTCCAACAGATTTCTTCACTGAAGGTTTGACATACATGAAGATGCAACTTCCATAGGTGATGGAAACCACAATCATGTGGGAAGAGCAGGTGGAAAAGGCCTTTTTTCTTTGCTGGGCAGATGGGAATCTCACAATGGTCTTGATGATGTGTACGTAGGACAGAACCACACACACGAGGGTCAGAATGAAGGTCAGCACGGCACAGACAATCACCAACTGCTCTATGAGCCATGTGTCTGAGCAAGAAATATTCAAGATAGGAGATGCATCACAGAAGAAAAAGTCAACAATATTTGAGTCACAGAATTTCAAATTTAAGAACAGGGTGAATGGTGGGAGTATGATCATCAAGCCTGCCAGCCAGCAGCTGAAGATGAGGTTCCTGCAGACTCTTCTGTTCATGATGGTTACGTAGTGCAGGGGCTTGCAGATGGCCACATAGCGGTCATAGGACATTATGGCCAGAAGGAAGAATTCTATTACTCCAAAAATATCTATCAAAAACACTTGAATAACACAAACACTGTACGTAATTGACCTATCACCTGTGGCTATGTTGTACAGATATCTAGGGATACAAGCAGAAGTAAACGAAATTTCTAATAAGGCAAAATTTTGTAGAAAGAAGTACATGGGTGTTTTGAGATGGCAGTCAAATGAAGTGAGAGCTATGATGGCCAGGTTCCCAGTTATACTTAACGTGTAAGTGAAAAACAGAAACACAAAAACTGGAATCTGAAGTTGAGGGTCATTTGTTAGTCCCAAGAGAATGAAGGTTGTTATTGTGTGGTTTCCCATCACTGACAAGGGAATTTTATCAGTCCTTCTGTAAAATTTAGAGATATGTTACCCGAAAAGAATAATATAAAAGCCCAATAAAAAGTCTGAAAACAGTGATTTCTAGACACAGGAAAGGAGCTTGGACAGTCTCTTCTGTACTTAATATTATCAATGGTCTGGCAGGCTTGGCTGTACAATTATTTGTTATAGTTTATTGTTTCCATTCCTAGTGACAGATTTTTAAACATATATACAGAACATGTTTTATCATCCCAGTTGCCCCTTTTATTTGAATTTGTATGTGTACCAGACTAGATTTTTGCATGTTATTTGATTTTACTCACAATATCTTTCATTTCAACAGAATTGTGATTTCTATTTTTTTCCGTATTGCAAAGGTGAATTTTAAAATGTAATTATTTTCGTGTATTTCCTGGAAGAGTTGGTCCTTGAGAAATGTAAATATGAAACAACTCATGCAGATGCTATACATGGGCTTTTAAAGCTTCTGCAACTTTCATTTCACATTTTGTCACAGTGATCAACATTTGTTTATGTCATTTCCTTTGGGTTTCAAAATGCAACTTTCATATTGTTGACCTATTTCTCTGATTCTTCGTAGATATCTCAGCTAGTTTAGTTTAAGTTTGATGTCCCCTGGGAAACACAATTCATTACAGGTTAAGGAATGTTTGGTACATTGATATATAGCTGGGGAAAAAGTCATATTCTCTGTAATTGCATAGTGTACTGTGTATGGGTAATAATCTTGTTATCACTATTATCAAGTTTAAAATCAAATTTAAAATGCTAAATATATACTCCACACAATGCCTGTGCTGAACTATTTGTGAGTTTCAATTTGAGCATGGCTTTCACTAAAAGTTCTCTAAAACTCTCCCTATGAGCATACCTACACAAAAGAACATAATCCTAAATTTCTAGCAATTCTTTAAGAATTATTGTTGAATATGTGCCCATGTCTAAATCGGGTATGGTGTCACATTCCTCTAATCCTAGCATTTGGGAGGCTGGGGCAGAATGATCGAAAGTTCCAGCCTGATTTGGTCAACTTATGAAGGTATTGGTTCAAAATAAAAAAAAAATTAAAAGTGCTGGAAATATAGTTCAGGGAGAAGATTCAATCTCCAGTGCAGCAAAAAACAAAACGAAACCAAAACCAACCAACCCAACAAAAAAACTCCCAAAACATTAAAAGCCAGCTTCTATTGTAGGTGGACTTCATCTTGAAACTTTGTCAGTTATATGTATATATATAAGAGTTTTTCTGGTGAATAAAAAGTCATACCGTGATAGTATTGTTACCTTTTATCCTCACCAATATTTTGACTGATATCTTCTGTTTAGTTTAGCTATTTGTCTCTTGGTTGGTAGCTCTTCTTGTCTTTTTGAGGCAGACATCAATAATATATTTTAAAAAGTCAAGAAACTTGCCTGTATAAATATGGAAGTTTCCCATGTTATTCATCTTAAAATGTAGTGTAAACATTTTTACATCTTGGTAAATGCATTAAATGTAATTCCATTCCATTTCTACCCACTGTATTTATGTTACTAGTTTAAAAATCCCTCCTTAGTTTTAAAAATTCTTATCATTTCATAATTTTTCTCACATTAAAATATTTTCATAAATGTACCACAGGTTTTAAATCAGCTTCGAACATGCTGCTATGCATCTGTTTTCTACAATTACTAAAATGTCTGCAAAAAACATATTTTTATAAACCTTATTCTACAATTTCATAATTCATAGAAAATTAATTTCAAGGACAAGGGATTATATTTATTTAGAAATTTGTATACATTGGGGTATCATCTATAAACTTTGCAGCACTATTTTCTTTCAAATCATAGTGTAACTTTGTCACAGTACCTGCAATGAAATCACTGCAACATTTCCTACATCTATTTTCAAGATTCCTGATATTTTTATTTGATACAAGTTTGGGTCATGTTAGTTTTTACTCGTAATATTATACCACAGAAGAGACATCTATTCAGTTGACAGTTTGGAATTCCACCATTGTCTTCTACAGATAAAGATATTTTTCAGTTTTTCTATTTGTGCCTCTTCAAAGAATATTTTAAAAGTGTTTTAAAACAAGAGTTTAAAACCTTTCTCATTTGGATTAATGGTTGTTCTACAGTTTTTCTCTAGCTGTCACATTTAATTTTATTAACATACTCAAATGTATTTTACTTTGGAGTTAATAACTTTAACAATTCAGTTTATCCTAAGGAGAAGAATACAAAACAATTTTTTTCCAATTTTCCTAAAAAACTACATTACCATGTTTTATGAATAGTTTTCATTTGTTCTTTTTAAAACAATCACTTTTTAAAGTGATCAGAGCTGAATCACCTCTTAATTATAGAATTTGTTACTGAAGTTAAATCCCAAAGTTTATTTATCATTATTGGGAAACATGTTATGGTTTGTGTCTGAATGTCCCCCCAAAGCCTCATGCAGTCATGGGGCGGGCTTCTAGAGTTTATGATTGATTCATGGTCCAATGTTGGAATCATGGATTTGAGTGTTACACCCACCCTGGGGCACATAGTTTGCATACAATGTAAGGGAGGGAAAGAGGCTACTTGCCACCACTCCTTCCTTTTGCTCTTGTTTTTGCTGTCTTCTGCCATCCTGAACTGTAGCCCTGTGCCGTGTGCCACTCTGCCTTGGAGCCAGCTGAGTATAGACTGAAATCTCCACAAACTCTGAGCTAGATAAACCTTTCCTTCCTTAATTTTGGGTATTGAGTATTTTGTCCCAGCAAAGAGAGAAAATTAACCAAGACACAGAGCCAACAATGTTTTTTATGAAGACTTACTATGTTTGTAGGAATTATAGGGTCCAACTTAGATAACTACAACAAACACTTTCAATTAAAAAAAGGATACTCTTCCAGCTTTCCTACTATTTCCAATGCATTTCTTTTGAACCAGTAGCTCCTAGAGCTATTACCTGGTAACATGCTTGTTCCTGAATCCCCAGCACAATACTCTTGTTCCAAGATACATCCTTTGTTAATTCCAGTCATTAGTAATAGCTTTTAAGTGGTAGAGTTTAATAGTTGCATCCCCCAAAGACTTTTTATAAATGTAAAACAGTACAAGGTAACTGATGTTGTCATTATCGGTAAATTATCATAGAAAATTGGCATACAAATGTACCAAACACAACATATAATGAAACAGCCAGTGTACTTACTCTTCTGCAAGTTTACAACAGCTTCAGGTGATTTTTAGACAACAAAAGCCCCAAAGGTGAATGTGAGGAAAAGCACCTAGCAGCAAAGGCTTATATGGGAAATTTTTGTCTCATCGCACTGCCCCCAGATTTATACTCTGAACTGATTGATCCAAAAGAAGGCGTAGAACTTTTCAAGATTTTTCATCTCTGATACACTGGAAAGATTTTCTAACCAGGAATTTAGGTCCCTTTTTTACCTGGGAAATAGTTCTCAGCTCTCTTTTGGTTGAAAATAAAATATTTTGCCATCAGGGGCTGGGGATATAGCTCAGTGGCATAAGTGCCTGCCTGGCAAGCACAAGGTCGTGAGTTTGATCCCCAGTACAGCAAAAAAAAAAAAAAAAAAAAAAAATTGCCAAATATTTTCATGTCTTGGATATTTTCTTGTCTTGGTTTGGACCTCTTGGGATGTAGTGAAGGCCTTTTATGCCATTAAGATTTACATTTAATTATCACCTGATAAGCCTGAAACTAAAAAAAAAAAAAAATGAGTAGGTCCTTTGTGATCCATGTCCAGACATCACTAATGAACGTTCTTTGTAAAGAACAAAAATCTTGAAATATACTGCAATGGAGACTGTGTCCTTAGAGACACAAAGCTACAACCATAACAACTCATATGGGTTAAGAATTGGTTAGCCATGCCTGTAATTTTTCCCTACTAAGAAACAAAGTTGAAATATCACAAAGCTAACACACCAACTAATTTTTCAAATTTTAAGACAGAAAGTGAAACAGGAAAATATTGAAGAATATAAAGCAAATGTTAGTTTTAATATTTAAAAGAAGCATGACTATTTCTATGAATATTTTAAAAACAAAAATATTTCCAGTATTTATAGATATAGTTTAACTTATTTATAGTTTATTTAATTATATAGACTGTAATTATAAAAGCAACTATAGAGGTACATGATCTTGTATAAAGTGTTTTGGAATACATATTTATATTTTAAATTATTCTTATTAATTTCAAATATGTATACAATTATCTTCATTCCTTAAAAACAGCTTTGCTGCATTCTATTCTATCATTGTATCACTTTTTTATATGTTCAGTTGGAATTTTCTTTCTACAACCAACACTTGCTACAAAAGCACACTTAGATGAACTTTTAAAAATAGAATGTCAGAAAGAAAATATATTCACATATTGAGGTTTTTTTATATTAAATAACTAAAGTGCCCTCTGAAAGATTATACCAAATGATATAGTCAAACTTTATTCATCAACTAGTTTTGTAACATACTTAATTTAATAGTTTTGACTATGTTTAGTGACACATTTGGTGTGAAATTTTTCCTTAGTTTGGCAATTGTTTTAATTTTGTGTTTCTATTTTGTGATTTTTATAAAAAAAAGATGTCTAAGATTTTTTTCTCTATACAGGATAGTTAACATAGTTGTTCTACTGTCTTCTATTTTTTTGCTGAAAGAAACTGTCAATGAGCCCTTGGTTGATCAATATTGCATGTCTCTATCTGTTTTCATGAGAAACCACTTTGAAGATATCAATATGTAATACAACAAGCATTGTTAGTTCCCTACCACTTTGTGACTCCGTATTGTCTGTACCATTCTTTTGCTATGTTGTAAAA